GTTCACCTTAGGACAAATGGGAGGATTCTGAGATCCTGGCTTATGGTGGAAACAGGATGGGGGGAAGAGTAGGAGAGCAGAGCTCCTCCCAGCACCCACTGTGTGACCTGGGCCAAGTAACTTCTTGATTTTCTCCTCTGTGAGGCTGAGTGAGGCAGGTGCTCCACAACGGCAGCTTTCAAACCCTACCTGGGAAGGAATTCCTACAGCCCTGTCAGGCTCCACTTCCACACATCAGGCTTCTCTCAGCCCAACTTATTTGAAAACCCCATCGGGAGCAAGAAAAAAGACAAAGTGATGAGGCAGGAGGTTCGTGCATAAGAAGGGCTCATGGAGGAGAAAAAAATCGAATGAGAATGAAAACAAAATAGTAGGTTTGGTGGTGAAGAGAGAACGATCCAAAAAAACCAGACAGGGGTGCTTGGGTGGCTCAGCTGGTTGAGTGTCTAACTCTTGGTTTCAGCTCGGGTGGTGATCCCAGGGTCGTGGGATCGAGCCCCACGTCAGGCTCCACGATCTGCAGGGAGTCTGCTTGGAGATCCCTCTCTCCCTCTCCCTCCACTCATGTATTCTCTCTCTCTCTCTCAAATAAATAAATAAATCTTAAAAACAAAAACAAAAACAAAGACTGACAAGTGAGACACTTGAAGACGAGGCCAGGGTGGGTGAAGAGCATGGACCCTGGGTCAGATCTACTGCTCTGAGTCCTGGTAGCAACCCCATGATTTGGGGCATGGCTCCTCTTTGTGTCTCAGTTTCTTGTCTCCCTTTGCAAAGGGAGATAAAAATGCTTTCTTTAGGGGCACCTGGGTGGTTCAGTCAGTTAAGCATCTGCCTTCGGCTCAGGTCATGATCCCTGTGTCCTGGGGTCGCTTCCCACATCGGGCCCCTTGCTCAGCCGGGAGCCTGTTTCTCCCTCTGCCTGCCGCTCCCCCAGCTTGTGCTCTTTCTCTGTCTCTCTGACAAATAAATAAATAAAAACCTTTAAAAAATGCTTTCTTTATAGGGCATCCCTGCTAGTCATGTTAGCAAATATATCTAGAGACAAAAAGATATTAACACAGGAATTGGGACACAGAGGGAAGTATAGTTAAGAGGAGAGGAGGGACAGAGAGACAGACACACAGAGGAATGTCAGGTCACAAGGGCAGGGGGACACATGCTCAGATTTGGGCATCTCAGGGTAGTCCCTAGGGTCTCAGGACATTGCCTTCCTCCCCCACCCCAGGTCTGTCTCCAGGACAGTGTTGCCAAAGTCACACTCACCCCTGATGCTCTCTCTCACACATGTACATATACATGTGATTTCTTGGGAGGGAGGGTCCTTCTGTTCTCTCCATTCTAGTGCACTTTTTTCTGAATGTTTGCTATTTGTTGGACATTGTGCCAAGAGCTTTATATGTGTTGTACAATCTGCACAATAACCCTGCAAGGCAGATAAGTACTATTTAGTAGCTACATTTTACAGATGTGAACACTGAGGCAGAAAGAAGTTAGTTAAATAGCTACTAAAAGTGAAGCCAAAATTAGGGGGTCACCAAGCTTTCACAGTGACCCCAGCTAGCATATGGTTAATGTCCACATGCTTAAAATAGTATCTGACAGATCATAAAAGCTTAATTATTATTGATTGTGTAGTGGGAGGGCTGTTTTTTGGCAGGTGAACAGTGGAGTTCACATTCAAGCATTGGCTTGAACTTCCAGTTACAAATAACAATTTAAACATACTCTTTAGGGGACCCTGGATGTCTCGGTTAGGTGTCTGCCTTCGGCTCAGGTCATGGTCCCGGGGTCCTGGGATCGAGCGCCACGTCAAGCTCCCTGCTCTTCGAGGACTCTGCTTCTCCCTTTCCCTGGCCCCTGCTTGTGCTCTCTCTTGCTATCTCTCTCTCTCTGTCAAATAAATAAATCTTTAAAAAATAAGTAAACTTATTCTTTAACTTCAGTCCTCCTGAAACACCATTAAAATGAAACTAGGGGCACCTGGTTGGCTCAGTCAGTTAAGCATCTGCCTTTGGCTCAGGTCATGATACCGGGTTCCTGGGATTGAGGCCCGCGTTGGTCTCCCTGCTCAGCGGGGAATCTGCTTCTCCCCCTGCCCCCCCACTTGTGCATGCACTCTCTCTCTCTCTCAAATAAAATCTTTAAAAAAAATGAAAACTAAAAGAAACTAAAAAAAGAAAAATGCATACACTCAAAAAATCATGGCAAACGAGACAACAGCAACAAAGTTCTGAAGGCTAGAAAGCATATTTAGTACATATAATACTAGTAAATATATGATACTAGTAAGTAGAAACAATCTAAGCAGGCCTGGGAAAGGTAAGTCCCCACTCAGACACAAACACCCCACAACATATCTCTGAACCCCCAGAGACTCAAGAATTAGTGACATAAAATGCTTCTAGAAGGGGAAGGACAAAATAAAGCAGTGACAAGAAGACTGGTTGAGGGGCGCCTGGCTGGCTCAGTTGGTAGGGCAGGCGACTCTTGATTTCAGAGTTGTAAGTTCAAGACCTACACTGGGGGAAGAGATTACTCGGAAATAAGAATAAAAAAAAAATCTTAAAGATTGGTTGAAAGTTTGCTTGAAAGCAGGTAAGCCCCAGATCCTTCCCCCTACTCCTTGCTCCCATCCTTAGCAAAGTAACTAGACCTCACTGGAGGAAAGGTCTCCCTCTCTAGAGGAGATAAAACAGATAAGCTGAAGGATATCAAGCACAGAGGTACATGAAAACAGGGGAATTAAGTGCAAGTTTACACACTGAATGTTGAGACCACCACTTTCTTCCCCCGAATGGTGAAAGCCAGGTTTATACTCTCCAGGCAGGAGACCAGATAAAGTTTCTCAAATGACATCAAGAGTTTCCCAAGGGGGCACCCGGCTGGTTCAATCAGGTAAGCATCTGTCTTTGGCTCAGGTCATGATCCCAGGGTCCTGGGATCGAGCCCCACTTTGGGCTCCCTGCTCAGCAAGGAGCCTGCTTCTCCCTCTCTGTTCCCCCTGCTTGTGCTCTCTCTCTCTCTCTCTCTCTCTCTCTCTCTCAATCTGTGTCAAATGAATGAAATTTAAAAAAAAAAAAAAGAGTTTCCCAAGAGAGTGGCCCAGGCTGCCATGACAAGCCTCCCCATGTACTGCTAAGCACCATTATACAGCTTTTTGGTTCTCTGTCCTAAGCAGCCAGCGAAGAAGCACTAGACATTTGAGGAGAGCTTCTAACATGAAAAGCAAAGACTCAAACAAACCAATAAAAGACAAAAAAGTCTTAGAGAAAACAGGAAATAGGCAGGGAAAAGGAGAACCTTATATACTTAGAAAGAGGTGATATTGCATCTAAAAGACAAGAATAGATACTATTTTTTTAAAAAATAGAATTCTCAGGGAACAAAAAAGCACTCTTGGAGATTCAAGATGAAAGGAGAAAATTTTTTAAATCAATAGATGATTGAAAAATTAGTTGAGGAAATTACTCAGACAGTAAAGGGAAAAGTGAGGAGAGAAGAAAGGAAGAAAATTGGAAGACACATTCAAGATGACAAATATCCGAATCATAGGAATCCCAAAAACAGAGAATACAGAAGATGGAGGTTAAAAATAATCAAAAGTAGAATTCACGAAAATGTCCGCAGTCTTAATGATCTGTTTCCAGACTGAAAGAGCACGCTGAATATCTGGAACAACCAAGGAAGAAAACATAGCAAGTTATGTCAGCATGAGATTTCTGCAGAGGAGGGACCAAGAGATCATCTTCCAGGTTCCAGAGAGATTAAAGAGGTTTCGCCCGAAGGAATCAGGATAGCAGTAGGCTTCCTGACTGCAATAACACTGGAAGCTAGAAGGCAGTGGAGAAGACAACTACTCCCAACCAGAATGTTCTGCTCCTCTAAACTCTCAAGAGTGTGAACGTAGAATGAAGACATTTTCAGATACGTCTCCAAACTTTGCCTGCCATGCCCTGTGTCTCGGGACACTGCTGAGAAATTTATGCTCCACCAGAAACTGAGGAGTGAACCAAGAAAGAAGACACGGCACCCAGGATAAAGGGATCCTGTACAAGAGGGAAGGCCAGGCCCACTTAGCTCGTGAAGGGGGAGCCTCAAGGCAACAGCTTTGCAAGCAAGCCTGCGGAGCACCCCGTCCAGCCTGGCCTATCCAGCAGCTCCAGGAGCAGTCTCTCCAAGAAAATGAGGTGGATAAAGCACCTGAAGAATTTCAGCATTTGAGATGATTGAGAGGTGATCACTTAATCTGGGGAGAGTTCGGGACTAAATTAGTGACAAATACGTAGAAAACCGAACCAATAAAAAAACAAAATCAAAATGATTTTTAACTCCAGGAGGAAAATTTCACAGAAAGAGGAAAATAATCATCATGTACTTAAGACTTGGCTGTGATGAGCACTGGGTGTTATACGCAACTCAGAAATCATTGAACACTACATCAAAAACTAATGATGAACTATACGCTGGGTAACTGAACATAAAAAAAAAAAACTTGGCTGTGAATAGTACTTCTATATTCATAATAAGATAAATATTGAATGTCGATCCAACCAAAATCATGATCTAATTTAATTAGACTGGGGAAATGGCAGGCTAAGTGGGGCAGGAACCATGTGTGGGGTGGGTATGTATCGGGGGCTGAGAGACTTGGGTGAAAGAGAGAGAAATCCTCTTCTTCCATAATAAGGAATCAAACAATGTCTAAATTAAGGAAATTTAAGAAACACCTAATGTTGAAAAATGTAGAAGTAGTACTATATGCTTGCTATTTAGCATTCTGAAGGTAAAGAATCAGTTTTAAAAAGTTGAAGAGGTTAGTTCTGAAAAGCAGGAATTGGCAAGTGTAGGGGCCCTATTGTATTTCTTACCAAGGCTTGCAGAACTCTCAGTATCTTTTTTTTAAGATTTATTTATTTATTTGAGAGAGAGATTGAGCACAAGCAGGGGAGGGGCAAAGGGAGAGAGAGAGAGAATCCTCAAGTAGACTCCCCATTGGGCATAGAATCTAATATGGTGCTCTGTCTCACGACCCTGGATCATGACCTGAGCAGAAATCAAGAGTCAGACTCTTAACCAACTGAGCCACCCAGGTGCCCTGAGAGAGAGACTCTCAAGCAGACTCCCCACTGAGCATGGAGCCTGACACAGGCCTGATCCCATGACGCCAAGATCACAACCTGAGCTGAAATCAAGAGTTGGACGTTCAATCGACTGAGCCACCTGGGCTCCCCAAACTCTCAGTATCTTTAAACTATGTGCAAGGAAAATTTTGATTAGACAAAAACATGATAAAAGACAGAAGGAGAAGCAGGAGGTGGAGGAAAAGAAGAGAGAGCTCAGAAGAGTTTGGCAAAGACTGGGCTCTGCTGTATTTTGGGCAAATTATTTCCATTATTTAATTTCTCTCATTTCCTCCTCAAAAAAGGAGGATAATAGTATGTAACACACAGTGTTCTTTCTTGTCTCTGATAGATAGTAACTATCATCATTGGAACCACCAAAGAATTAACCCTAGTTTTCCCATCTGGATCATGGAGGTAATCACCTGCCTCATTAAGTGGTTGAGAGATTAAGTGAAGTAACAAAGTTAAACCTCAAATTCATCTGGAACTAGGCAAAATATGACTTCAGTAACACATCCAACATAGTGCCCAGGGATGTGTAGAGAGAGTTTCCTCCATGCAGTTCTCCATGTGAAATGTTTTGCATGGGAATACCTCCCACCTTAACTGGCAGAATGTTCTTAATTACCAGAATGTTCTTAATTACTATGTTCCTGGGGGAAACAAGCAAACAACAGTCATCATAATGCGTGAGAGCAATCACATCTGGGCAACGTGAAAGACCAGAAAGACCAGAGGAAACATTCTCCCTGATTCTGTCCTCAGCATTTATTCATACCTTGTCCATTTCCCAAAAGATCAGTGATGATGCTGTAGCAAGAGTAAGTCAGGAGTTAAGGACAGGAAGTCTGGCTTCAGATCTCTACCTCACTTACTGGCAAGGCATTTCTTGAGATTCTGTTTCCTCACTAGTAAATTGAAACTGATAATAAGAGTATTGACCTTCTTATGGTCATCATGAAACTTAAATGAGATTATATAGGTGTATATATATGTATAATGTATACACTCATGTATTACAATGTGTGTGTACCCTTTACATGGCAAATTACTGTCTTCAAATAAAAAACAAATCCAGACTAGTAAGGAGAGACTGTTACTCCGAAAAGACTATTGCAAGTTTGGGGGAGGGGACAGAATTTTGCAATAGGGAGAATACTATTGACTGTAAGATCAGCAAGTATCTCAAGAGTTCAGCAAAAAGGGATTTTCTTTTATAGAGAGGAGTAAACAAGGCAAGAAAGAAGGAGGTGTAAGAAAGTGGGCATAAGGGATAGTAGATCAGAGAATATCTCCCCCTCCCATGCCAGGCCAGCCTATTCTTGGGACAGGACATTTGCAGGCTAGTGGGAGTTGGGCCAAAAAGTTCAGGGGCCTGGAGGGAGGGCAGAAGTGTAACCAAAGTTTGATTAACAAGCATTTTGTTCTGAATAATCAGTGGGGACATGAAGTTCAGATCATTATTTATAAGGCAAAGAAAGAAAATTTTGAGGGTCTATGGCTGGCCTTGTAGGTAAATGGGGGGGCATCATTGAGTATATGGGGAAGGGTGGTCCTTTGCACTCAGTCATTTTCTGGAACATGAAAATTGGGGGGATTTCTCAACTTTCACTGTTTTCCAGGATTACAGGGCTCAGGCAGACTCTGACATTGTCACTCTCCAAATGCTATGTACTATTACCAATACCAGTAGTAGTAATAAAAGTATTAGTAGTATAAAATAAGGCTTAAAATCAATGTAAAAAGAACAAAAACCATACAGGGAGGAAGAAGAAAAGGAAAGGCTTCTGTTAAGTTTAGTTCTAGGCTTCCCAGCAACTAAACAAAAATAAAAACACTGATTCTTATTGATAAAAAGCAAAGAAAAATAGAAAAACTCTTTTCTGTTGCTAAATTCAAAGAAATTTATCCTATCCAAAGTGTTACAAGGATTCTGAATGGACAACATACTGAACAGTGTCTTCAACCAGAGTTTTGCAAAAGAGGCAGAATTCTTACGATGACGTCTTAGGATAATCCTCTACAAAAATTGATATCAAGACATTAAAACACTATTTAATGAAGGCATTTCTCTGGGAACTAGAGAGTCTCGAAATGAAGTCTAGAAATATCATCGGCTGATGAGGAAGACCAGGGTTTCTTGCAGCATACTTTTATCCGAAACAGGACCAGGGTTTTCATGCATTATCTCTAGTCCTCCTGACGGCCTGCAAGATAGGTGTTACTATTCTCCTTTTACAAGTGAGAAAACAGAAAGGGTAAACGATTTTGCCACGGTCACACAGTCAGAAGGTTGTGGAGTCCACATAAGGCTCATTCCCTTTCCAGGAAACCAGACCACATTAAAGGATACCTGGATTAGGTTTAGAGTATGAGTGACAAGCCCATCTTCTTCAAATGTCAATGGTCTCAGGCAGGCTGCGGAAAGGAAGTGGATGGCAGTTCAAGGCTCAACTCCTACCTGAGTGTCCAGGGCTCAGGTTCTCTCTTCTGATTGGAGGGAGACCCTAGGTTCTTCTTTGCTTTCGTCTTACTCAACTTTTCGGGGCGGGGGGAAGGGGGTGAGCAGCATTTGATGAATTGGGATATCCTTTCTGTTATGGACATACAATAAAATAAATTGTATTTACTAAGATTGTGCACATTGTCTTCTTAGCAAATGGTAGTTTTGTGTTTCCCAGGCCAATATTTTATGTGGGGGAGCAATGGGGTTCTCAAGCACAGCCACTCCCTGTTGATCACTGATTTTCTCTCTATGGTGGTGAAGGAATCTGGCAAAGCCTTTAACAGATTGTTTGAGGTTTTTACTAGTCGTTCATTGCCTAGACTCAGTGGATGGGAAACGGACCACATAAGAACAATATAGATCCCTAGTTGTCAGTGTTCATATGAAACTGCATTTTGATACCACCATGAGAATCTGAGTCCTCAGGAATCATTTCCTGACAGAGCAAATAACAATCTAGAACATTCTAAACTGGAATATCATTCTGATGCCTTTTCTTTTTCTTGTATTCTCCTTTGTCCTGCTCCACGTTTTAAATTTAAAAAATGGATACCCTAATGCATTTGAACTAGGATTATCTATAGATGGATATTCCTGCTTCAGAAAGAGGAGGATAAAGACAGCTCTACATGGAGATCTGATACGCCTTCTGTTGGACGTGATCTGGGAGTATGCTCAGGGGGTCATCCTGGCATCTCACCATGCTCAGAAAGAGTGACTTAACGATGTTCTAAAACACGATTATTATTTTTGGCAGATAACATCCTCCAAAATTGAGTTGGCTCACATAGCATCATCCCATAGATCAGGTTAATCAATCCAGCAGCTTAAGAGTACATTTATGATTAATTTTCCTCACAGAGCGATCAAACCACTGCTGTAAGCTAGATACTCTAAGGGGGCATTTTTGGGATTTTTGTGTGGCTGGGTAGAGTGGTTGACTGGCAACATTCCCTCTGGACAAAGCTGGTTCTTTATGGCCAGGCTTTTCAAATGGAGTTCATTTATCCTGAAGGAAATACGCAACAGGCCACAGGGGTCGATAAAGCCGCAGGATAAATATGGTTCATTTTTCCAAGAATATCCTTTTTATTGAAGACTTTTAGTGAAAAGTGTAATTTAACAGCTAAGTAATTTATCAGAAGTGTATTATAGAGTATAAACATATTTGCATGAAATTTTAAGAGAAAATGTGAAACTTTAAAGGAGTTTCAATGCTAATGACAAGCTGCTTTAGCTACCTGTCTCAGACTCCTCAGGCTGCCCAGAAGGTTCTCAATTTTGGAGGGCAGAGGATCCTGGAAAACAGTCATTTAAAGTGACTCCACTTAGGGGCTCCTGGGTGGCTCAGCCGGTGAAGCGTCTGACTCTTGATTTCAGCTCAGGTCTTGATCTCAGGGTCATGAGTTCAAGACCCGCGTTGGGCTCCGCTTAAAAATAAATAAATAAAGTGAATCCACTTAAAAGGGGGACCAAGCATTCCACAGTAAATAGTAGGGAGAAAAAGCATAGATTAGAATTTTATATTGAAATTAAACCAAAAATACAAAAAATAAGTTCATTTTACCCCATGCCTAACAGAATTGAAGTTATAATTGCAACCATGCAGTATTTCTTTAAAGAACAAAGGATGATTTACGTTTTGGGAAGGCTTTCGGCATGCCATGATATGCGAGCCTACAGCAGGATACATCGTCTTTCTTTCCCTTTTGACTTTCACAACATGACCATAAAGTAGGTTATGTTTACAAACATGTTCCAAAGGTCCATCTATGTCCTCAAGGGAGTTAAATCCTTGTTATTCAAAAATTCTCTTTCAGTGCACCTAGCCAGTCAAGAATTTTGCCGCTTTTCTCTGCAATCATTAGCCATCTGTCATTTTAAAGGGGCTTTGTGCATGTTTTAATAGTTACTCTGTTGACTTCATGAAATCCTGCACTGCGCGCACGTTTTGCCATTGTCTTTGCATTGTTTTGTAGGGTATTCGCCGCATCTAACACTCAGACCACCAGGCAGAGCCTGAGAGGGGAAGATGCTATGCAAGGTTGTTAGGGGGCAGGGTGAGGTATAGAGATGAATGCTGGGGTTAAGCAAGAGGCCAATTCTATAAGTGGTCCATTCACTAGTGAATATTTTCACACCTCGATGACATTTTTCTTCCCTACGTAGCCTTAGAAACTACTGGGACTCAGACACAAATAATGGAGACTCCAGTACACATGCTTTTGCAATGAAAGATGCTTTGGGAACGGTGGAAAAGCACGCTACAGTGTAGAACGTTGGGAAATTAACTGATCCCTTTTTTATGGACTATGACAAAATGAGATCGGGTTCTTAGAAAAACTCTGTCTTTACTTGCGGGTACCCCTCCACCCTTCCTCTGCATAGAGCTGGAATGACCCTCCATATAGGTAGAAGTCTTGATTAGACACCTTCAAAACAAGATCAAAATGATTCTCTGCTCTGCTGGTTTCCATGCATATGGGTCTATTCTCATTCATCAACAAAGACTGTCAGCATTCCAGGGTCTCTTTATGGAATATAATATTGAAAAATCTGCCATTTTGTTGTCACCCAAGGTGACGTTCATGACAGTTTCTCTGAAGAACATAGAATTTACCCATTTCTCTAAATTTCAAAATTTCCATCTTTTTGAAGCAAGGGTCCTAATTCTGGTCTCAGCTGTATCTACCATTGCAGTTTGAGACATGTCTAAGCAAATTTGGCAAACTGGTGGGCTAAGTCCTTGAGAAGTCTATTTGCATGAAGGACTAAGGAGCCTTCCAGGAAACAATCCCAAAGGAAAAGAGAGGGTGACAGGTTTGATCCAGTAACAAATCTTGGTGGCTCAGTTGGTTGGGCATCTGCCTTCAGCTCAGGTTGTGATCTTGGTGTCCTGGGATTGAGCTCCACATTGGGCTCTGCGTTCACTGGGGAGCCTGCTTCTCCCTCTGCCCCTCCCCTTGCTCCTGCTCTCTCTCTCTTAACTAAATAAATAAAATCTTTAAAAAAACAAAAACTAATCTTGGTGTTGAAGGGGAAGAGAGAATATTTCTGAATATAATTTGTTGGAAGGGAGGGATAATTTGTGTATAATATTTTTGGGGTTTGTTCCTTGCCTTTTCTGGGCCTAAAGAAGGAAAAGGGACAGCTTCATATGACAATCAAGAGTTGTTTTAATTGAAATCTTAGTTGATATCAGGACAGAAGACTGTATTGCTTTAATGGACCTCTGATAGAAGATAATGTTAAGGGGAGAGAAAGGCATTTTCTGTTTTCCAGTTGGGAACAGTGTGGTGTTCTGAGGGCTTCTGAGAGCTCCATCTCACTCGGAAGGGTATGGGTGTCAATGTACGCATTAGGTCGTGGTACTGACCAGGCCCAGTGCTACCCGTGATGCTGCCAGGGCCCCGCAGAAAAAGCAGCTGACCTGGGACTTACTACAAGCAGTTCCCAGCAAAGGGAGCCATGCCCAGGAGATGCCCAGCGAATGGGTCTGCTTTAGGAGCACCTGAGAGACACTCCCTGAACTCTCCTAGGAATAATTATGGGAAGACTTTGTAGAGAACAGGAAGTCCTGCCTCAGCAGATCTGAGCGAGAGCCAGGAAAACGTGGACTGGTGTTAGGGTGTCACCATGTGTCCCCCAGTCTGATGTGACCAAAGCAGGATTGTGTAGTAGATGCTGTCAGCACTCCACCTGTGGGCACACTGGCCTGTGGTCCCAGGCCAGCACCTGTGTCTCTTTCCTGAAGGCTTGCCTGCTGGGATCTGCTCTGCAGAGGAGCCTGGCCAGCTGATGGTGCCATGGAATTAAGGCTCCCTAGGAGCTGCCTTCAGCCAATGACTGATGGGAGTATCAATGCCCCAGCTCCCACCCCTCCAATAGGCTAACTCAGGTTTTTTAATACTCCTAGAACCCCCCAGTGGGGTAAGCTCTAATATCTCTTAGTAGAAACTAGCCTGATAACACACCTTTGGGGGGCTTCTTTTCCTTCTCTGTCTCACTCGCCCCCTCCCCTACCAGTGTTTCCTGGGATCATATCTCAAACAAATGACTTGCATTTGAATCCTTTTTTTTTTTAAGATTTTATTTATTTATTTGCGAGAGAGTGAGAGAGCATGAGCAGGGGGGTAGGGTAGAGGGAGAAGCAGGCCCTGCACCAAGCAGGGAGCCTGAGGTGGGGCTCAGGACCCTGGGATCATGACCTGAGCCAAAGGCAGAAGCTCAACTGCCTGAGCCACCCAGCAGCTCCTGAATCCTTTTCTTAAGGTCTGTTTCTGGGGGGACCCAAACTAAAAGGGATGGGCTATGCTAGCAGCAAACTAAAGCAGTACCAGAGCACTCTTTTGGGCTGTTTTATCTTGTATCTTCACCAACCTGTTTTTACATTTGTATTTTAATGTTAGTGCCTTTGGTTTTTATTGAGCATCCCCAGAATCAGCCACAGGAGTCTGTTTCCATAGGAAGCCAGCTAAAGACCCAATTCTATGACTTAGCCCTTCCTATATGAAGTTCATTGTGAGAAATTTCTCCTAAAAATTTTTCTAGGGGCGCTTGGGTGGCTCCATCAGTTAAATGTCTGCCTTTGGCTCAGGTCATGATCCCAGGGTCTTGGGATGGAGCCCTACATCAGGCTCCATGCTCAGCAGGGAAGTCTGCTTCTCCCTTTCACACTCCCTCTGTGCTCCCTCTCTCTCCCTCTCAAATAAGTAAATGCATTCTTTAAAAAAATAAAAATAAGAGGCACCTGGGTGGCTCAGTTGGTTAAGCATCTGCCTTCGGCTCAGGTCATGATTCCAGGGTCCTGAGATTGAGCCCCTGCGTCAGGATCCCTGCTCAGCGGGGAGTCTCCTTCTCCCTCTGTCCCTCCCTCTGCTCATTCTCTCTCTCTCAGATAAAGATATAAAATCTCTTTTTAAAAAAAGATGTCTGGAAGATATTTTAAAAAAATAAAAATAAAAAAATAAACATTTTTCTTTAAAAGAATTTTGCTTAGCCTGAGAAGCTGGTGTATTTCCTTCATTCTGGTAAAGAGAATTAGATACCAGATTCTCTCTCCTCTCTCTGTCTCTGTCTCTCACTCTCTCCCTCTCTCCCTTTCCCTGCCTTACAGGAAGCTCAGAAGCCAATTTGGAGTCCAATGACAGGAAATACATAGAACTTTATCACCTGCATATGTGTGCCTCTCTTCCCTAGTGTTGGTTTCACTTCATGTGTGTTTTCTGTAGTCCTGGTAATTTATTCCCATTTATATTTACCTCTATTTTATTATACACATCTCTCTCTTTTTTTAAAGATTTATTAATTTGAGAGAGAGCGTGTGCACGCAAGCAGGGGGAGGGGCAGAGGGAGAGGGAGAGGTTGAGAGAGAATCTCATGCCGACTCCCCATTGAGCATGGAGCCCGTCGTGGGGCTTGATCTCACGACCCTGAGATCATGACCAGAGCTGAAATCAAGAGTCAGACGCTTCACCAGCTAAGCCACCCCAAGGCGCCCCTATACTCACCTCTTTATAAGCAACCTCAAATCTTCTGTGGAGCTAATGGTCTTATAAATCAGGTGTCATGTGAGCATTCATTTAATGAATTACATTTGGATGCCAACTTCGCAGAAATGCTGTTACGAAAACAGGCATGCATGAATCTCCCGTCTCCGACGTCTTCTTAGGGCTTTTCAAATTCTAGGCTCTGCGATTGCTTCTTCAAATGAAATCTTATGTGAAAGATATATCAAGCAAATTAAAAAAAAAAGAAGAAGCTGCTCTGGTTAAGAGGTGTGGGTGAGAGGAGGAGGGACACCCCCTCACTTCGCTTGGGCCGTCCCCTGCCCCATCTCCCATTGGCCCTTGGGCACCACCTGCTGAGCCCGAGGTCTCTGCAGAGCACAGGTTGACAAATAGCTTCAGTGATCACGCAGTAGGGTGTAGGGCCCCAGAACCCAGGGCCAGGGCTGGGCCCCAGCAGCTGCACAAGGAAGATCCTGTCACCACCGGGGCGGTGGGGGGACCCCTCCCTCCCGTAGCTGCATCTGCCCACAGGCTGAGCTGAGGGGCTAAGGGCCACCCCCTCCCAGTTTACCTTAAACCAGGCGCTGACCCACAGGTCCAGAACTAGCCTCAGGGCGGCCCTCTGCCCCGGCCACCTGTTCGTCACTTGCGCTCTGTCAGGGCCCTCTTCTGGCCCACTTGACACCTCTTCGGGATCGCCTTCAAGGTGTGGGAAGCCGGCAGGAGTGGGGCTGGGCCATGATGAGGGGCCCAGGGGCTCGGGGGTAGGGGCTGGGTGTGGGAGGAGAGGCTCTCGTCTGGATGACAGTGGCTTCAGGCTGAGACCCAAATGCTCCCCCACCCCGCGTTTGCCTAGTAAGGAAATCTTTCTGACCGAGCCAGTTAAAAGTCCTGGCTCTTCATCTCATTACTGCCAAGGCTCGAACTAAAGAGGCAAAAGCTGGCAGCCTCGGGCTGCCTTCAACTTGGCAACTGCCCCTCGGGGTCTGTGTCTCAAAGTCCCCGCCTCTCAATAGGTCTGTGTTTTCAATCCTGGCGAAGCAAAGCGGCGGCGGTCTCCCCCCTGGGCCTGAGCTCTCCATTCCCATCTTTCTGTGGGGGATTAAGAGCTGCTCTCTTGTTTGGGTGTCACTCTCCCTTTGAACCGCTGTGGCTTCATCGAGTTTCAGGCTCAACTTCCTGCCAGGAAGTGGATTTACCTCTGATTTGTTGTTACTCTCTCCATGGGAGGATGCCGAGGGAGAGGGCAAGGGAGAGGACCAGCGAGTCCCCTTCTCCCCAGGCACCCCGCCCGTCCCCAATCTCTCTCCAGCCCCCGTCCCCAAAAGAGCTCCAAGCCACCTCTTCCCCCCTCACAGGGAAAATCGGGGACTCGCAGGGAGGGGAGCCCGGGGCTGCTCACTCTGGGTGTGACGGAGGGGCACAGCGGCTGGGTGTGGGCACTGATGACAGGCTGCCTTTGGCCTCCCTCTGGGGCTGTAGCTCTGGACCTGTTCTTACTCTGGTCTCGAGAGTCCCAGAAAATTGGGTGAAAGAGACGTTTCCACCATGGAGCTAAGCTTACACAAGAAGACAGATCTCTTGAGTGCAGATCTAGGACTATTTCTACCTCACCACTTTTGAAATGTGTCCTTTTACCTTTATTTGCAATCAACAGAATATTATAGATACAGGCCTTGGAGCATGGGAGGGGGAGGAGAATGTGTGTGGTGTAGGAAAGAGGATAAAGGTCATTTGATTTTTGGTACCCTGACATCCAGGCAAAAAAGAGATTTTTTTTTTTTTTTTTTTTTCCTGGAGGGTATTCTATTGTCCTTATCCTGGAAAAAGATTTCCCAGAAAAGATCAAGAGAAATATCAAAGTATAGTTCGGCTGACATTGCTTGTAGTATGTAGAAAGTGGTTGTCCCATGTCTTTTTTTTTTTTTTTTAAGATTTTATTTATTTATTTGAGACAGAGAGAATGAGAGACAGAGAGCATGAAAGGCAGGAGGGTCAGAGGGAGAAGCAGACTCCCTGCCGAGCAGGGAGCCCGATGCGGGACTCGATCCCGGGACTCCAGGATCATGACCTGAGCTGAAGGCAGTCGCTTAACCAACTGAGCCACCCAGGCGCCCGGTTGTCCCGTGTCTACAAAATAACTTCTGTTTGATTAATAATCAGGAAAGGGTGAGCTGTGGCAATAAGAACCCACATTGGTCCATATTTCTGGAAATCCTACTCAAGGGCACAGAATAGTCCCCTGCAGAGCTTTCTGGATCTCAGGGAAGAGAAGCTAAAGAAAGGTAGCGATCTTGCCCAGGGAAAGAGACCATCTCAGGATCAGGGCAGGTGTGTTTTGTTTTTTGTTTTTTTAAGATATTATTTATGTATTTGAGAGAGAGAGCGAGAGCTAGTGCACAAGCAGGGGGAGGGCTGAGGGAGAGGGAGAAGCAGATTCCCCGCTGAGCAGGGAGCCTGACTCAGGGCTCCATCCCAGGACCCCGAGATCACGACCTGAGCTGAAGGCAGAAGCTTAATGGACTTGAGCCACCCAGGCACCCCCAGGGGAGGTGCCTTTTCTTGCTTGTGTGTCTTTGTTTTTTGTTTTTGTTTTTCATGTGCTATCCCTGCACACTACCAGTTAAAAGAGAAAACTGCACTCCAAAACTGGGCGTGAAGAATCTGAGATGCACCGAGATTAAAACAGATGTGGGATGTGAATGTGAGCTTGTGTGTGAGAGAGAGACGGAGACAGACAGACAGAGATGGGTCGAGGTGGTCGAAAGAACCTCGAACCGTTCACAGGAGGAGGATGGGCAAAGCAGCTGAATATGAAGGGCAAACGAGCTGAAAAGAGAAGCATAGCTCAAGCGGATAAACGGAGGTAAAGAGAGCCTGCAGACGCCACCAGCCAGGGCCTGGCCCTCCCCTGCGCGCCGGGTCACAGGCCCAAAGGGTGCGGGCCGGGCCCCTGTCTGCTGTTCTCCTCACAAAGCCTGGGTTGTGCTCTTGGCAGGACTGGGCCTCCCTGTCTCTGAGGTCCTAGCTGGGGCCGCCTGCCCTGAGAGCCTCCTGGTGCCACCAGAAGCCCCAGATTTGTCCAAGTGCCAATACCTAATGAGGAGCTCATTTGAATCCATGAAAAGTACTAGGGAGCAAGGAGACATGCTAATTAAAGTGATTGCTGTTCTTTAATTAAGCAATAATTCCCCCAAAGAGGGCATTATCATGCAAATAGAGCCCTTCTGGGTGAGGTAAGGGCTTTGGACAACAGCTGAGGTCTGTTAATAAGGCCCCTGAGTATTGGAGGGCAGGGATCCAGAATGCCCCATTGAGCTGGGTGATAGAGCAAGGGAAATAATCACGGCCCCACAGCCCCGCAGCCCCTCGCTGCCTTTTGTCTCTCCAGGCTTTGGCTGCAGGCTTTGGCTGCAGGGACCCTCCTCTGCTGCCCGTGCCTTCTCCCCAAGAGAGGCTTTCAGAGCTGTGTGGGGTGGAGAGGTTTGTAGGACAGTGTCTAGTTTGGCCCTTTGTACAATCAATGTCCCGATTATCAGAGCATCAGCGCAGAAGGGGTGGAATGAGGCGGGAGTGGGGCTCCTCAGTGCTCGTAAACATGGAAGAAGCTGCAAAAGGTCGAGCCTCATTCAGCTGCTGGGATACGCTGGAAAGCACACTGAAATCACTCCAGCATCTTGGGGGGGACCACGGCTGAGCTATTTCCCTTTCCAAGACCCAGTTTCCCGGGTGGCTAGTCGCTGCCTTACACAGTTACCCTGTGGGGACGTGGATGTGAGTGAAAGCACCAGGCATAGGGCCTGCCATCTGACCCAGTGGTTCTTGACCTGGGCTGATCTGCCCCAGAGTAAGGCTGCGGGATAAAAACAAGCTTTATATTTTTATTTGCTAAATCTGATAACCTTATCCCTGGGGACTTTGGCAATATCTAGAGATATTTTGCATTGTCACGACTGCAGGAGTAAGTGTGGGGAGAGGCCAGGGTTAGTGCTAACTGTCCTACAAGGCACAGGCCAGTCCCCACCCTCCCCCAAAGAATTATCTAGTCCAAAATATCCCATGTGTTCAGGTTGAGAAACTCGAATGTAAACAGCCCTCAATAAGTCTGAGTTCAATGAAAAACTAAATAAGGAGATGGCACATTTTCTAGAGCAAGAGCATAGCAGTGCGGTTATAAATCAACCCCCGCATGAACTCTTGGAGATATTTCTCTTTTCTCTGAAGGTAACGTATGGACAAAGATTGTGTTTGTAAAAACTGAACGGACAGACCGAGTGGTGCGGGCTGGTGCTGGGAGCCTCGTGCAAGGACCAGGACCAAAGAAACTGGTTCTGAAAGCCAGGAGCTTCAGAGACCACACAAAGCCAGCTCCGAGGTAAGAGCCAGGAGCTCCTACAGGAGACCAGAGCCCGGGGAGAGGCACCCAGGGCCCCGCCCGAGGGCAGAATGAAGCAGCCGAGAGCAGGTGTCAGACTGACTTAGACTGTGAAGCAAGAACTTGACGTCTACCTTACCACTGAGGGCAACAGCAATCGCACAGCTCAGGCTTCCATTGAGCTTACCGTTTTGTCACCATAGCCCAGGGGGCAGGTACAATTATGTTCCTCATTTTGCAGACACAGAAAGGAAAGAACGTGCGCAGGGCCACAAGCCTGGTAAAACCCAGGATTTCCACCGAGGCAGGGTCTGAGGCTAGTACAGCCGGGGAGCGAAGTCAGTCTCGAGACTGTCACCGTGGTTGCAGATCTCGAGGTATCCTCGGCTTGCTGCGCGGAAATGAGGGTCCTCAGCAAAATGCCCTGTGGGCCCTGAGCTGTGCCTGCATTGGGGGCTCTGGGTCCCCTGACAGACAGCTGGAGGGCAAAGGCGAGAAGGGGAAGGCCGTCACCAAACCTGGGTTTTGCCCTCCTCACGGCAGATTTCTTTTGCTGCACGTTTGCTCATCCTCTCAGCCGCCTAGACAGTTTTCCTAACTTCTGGGGCCCGAGGTGGGGGGGCTGTCTGTTGCTTCTAGAACTGCCTTCCTAATGGCCTATGTCTCAGGTGGAGCTTGTGGCCTGCCTTGGGGGAGACAAAAGGCAGAAAGTCAACAAACCAGGCAGTCCGGCTAAGGGAAGATCAAGCCTCTTGCTCCCAGAAATCTTGGAGTCCTTTCAATTTTGTGTTCACTCCCTGCAAAATAAATGTTTTGTGTTACAAGGAGACAGAGATAGTATCTCATCGGCCCTACTAGTTTAGCACGACCTCTGCCAACCTCTCACTCGACATTTGGCAGCGGGGGAAGGAGCGTGGAGAAAAACAGGCCCAGGTTCTGTTTGCAAAACATTTTCATCAGTCAGAAAGCTGCCAGGGTTGCAAATATTAAATAAACCCTGACTCATGGAGACATATACCTTGCTTTCTTTGCTGATCGGCTGGGTAACAGACAGAAATTACGTTACTTGGGAAGTGACAGCTCTTAACATTCTGCAGACTTCTCAAGACGGCTCTGGCTTTTTCTGAACAAAGAACAATCCACAAAAACGCCCATGGTTTGCAATGCATAGGAGTCTGTTTATAGGATCACAGACTCGGGCCCTCTCCTTGGTCAAAGGGGACGGGGTGAGATCACCCATTTAATCGCCTTCCACCTCCAGGTGGGGCTGGCTGGCCCGAAGGTCTTCTGCCAGTGGATTTAGTGAGAGTGTGGCCCAAGCCTCAGGCCCTTACAAGTGAGTTCCCTAAGGGCCGGCCCGTTTTTTCCATTGCAGAATTTATAAGTGGGTTTGAAATGAGAGCATAGTGTTGCTTTGCCAGGAACAAAGGTTTCCAGTGTATTCCAGTCACTAACCTAAGACACCATAATATAAGCCAGGCTCCCCTCTCCCCAACTCTAGCCAGTCCTGAAGTAAAAGTTCATCCAAGAACAATAATAGTAAGAGTATAGCTAACACTTACACTGAGCTTGCTACGTGCAAGGCATTGTTCTAATCCTCACAAAACCATGAGGGAGGGACTATTATTACCGTCATTTTGCAGAGAGGAACTTTGCTGTTTTCCTTACTCTAAAGTCAGGCAAGGCTCCCGCCCTATCTCTTCCTTTCCCTTTGGATCCCCGGGTTGTCCCCCTCATTCTCCATGAGAACAAAGTCTTCTATCAGCTTTGAAACAGTTCAACCCAGTTCTTTCTGCTGTTCTTTTCCAAGAACCGTTTCTCTCTTGCTTTTAAAACCCGTAACCTCAGCGGACACCATAACAAACCAGCGTGTGTGTCTACACCGCTTTGCATG